ATTAAAAATTACATGAGTTACCTTTAAGTGACAACCCCTAAGACACCATATTTCAGCCTCTTGTGAAATACACTAAGAATGCACTTTGAAAACAAAAGGGACTAGTAGAGCTTAGATAATAAAATAGATTAAAATGAAGTATTTCTAGTATCATTAGGTCAAAGCTAGAATTGAAGATCTGGGCTTACAGGACCACACCTAGTGAATTCACACAGAATTTAAGTGTGAATTTAAGTGTCCGTTTAATTTAGGTAACCAGTAAGTTAACTAGCTGTGATAAATATTAGGGAACTGTGCTTGTTTACAGTTCTTTTTACAACCAAATCTTAATTATGAACATAGGTGGAGGCATCCTTTCACCAACAGGCTTAGTGACTGGCAAAGAGTGAAAATCAAGGCACACACAAATTAATGTGGGATTTGGGGCAGAGAGGAGGAAAATATATGACATTTTTCTCCTGCACTTTCTTTTAGGGCAAGAACAGCCTACGACAGTGGCTCTGTCCTGAATTTTTTTTCCTCGTACACTTTTTTTTTTTGGCCTCCATGTAGCATGTGGGTTCTTGGTTCCCTGACCAGCGATCAAACCCGTGCCCCTTGCAATGGAAGTGTGGAGTCTTAACCACTGGACCACCAGGGAAGTCCCTTCTCATACACTTTTAAGAAAAGAGGACACAAACATATTCAACAAATGCAAGAAACACTACATATTCACTTGACTTTTGATAAGGGAAGGAGAGAAAGAAAGAAAAAGAGGGTATTGCTGTGCTAAGCAGTGGCCTTGGCGCTTTCAAACTGTTAACTTTCAAACACAACAACCTGGCAAGATAAGATCATCACCCCCATTTTAATGAAGAAGGCCTAGGCAGTGCTGTTAATTTGCCTCAAAGCAAAATGCTGGCCTGGGGCCTGGCACCAGAGCCTAAGGTCATTCTGGTCCCTGACACAGCAGAGTGAGAGATGAAAAATCAGGAAGATACACACAGAAACAGAGCAGGAAATATACATGCTTGGAGACAGACCCACAGAAAATGAGGAAAACCATCTCATCTAATGAGGTAATGTCAAACCATATTACCTTTGTCAAGTATTTTTTACAAAGATTTTGAAAGGTCAGTTCTACCATTGGCAAAAAGTGGAATTGCTTCAGGGAAATTACTTGGAAAGTGAAGTGAAATTCAACTGAGGAAATAAGTTATTCTACTCCAAATTTACTTGGCTTAATTGGACTTATTAGCACATAAAAGGCCTACAAATTTAAGCCTTATGGAATTAAAACCTAGGGAAAAGAAGAGCAGTATTTATCTACAGACTAGTTTTACTGAAGCAGAACACAAACATATTAAAAACATGAAGGAAAAAAATTTGTTTATCAACAGCCAAGCAAATAGACAACTCATTCCCCACTGCAGTCTTAACCCCAGGGAGGTCTTCATATTTAAGGGGCAACAAACATGGGATCTGGGTTACAGAATCCCTTAGGATTGTAAAGCTGAGAACGTTAAACGTGATTAAACTTGTGAAAATAAATCTTAAAAGATTCAAGAGTTATCGCAGATAGCATCAAGTCAGAGTAATTCACTCAATTAAAGGAATAAAAGTGAAATGTTTTCAAGTCCCAGTAAATAAAACGTATTAAAAAAAAAACCACATGAGTTTCCTATATTCTGACTGACAGCGTGGATATTTTAGAATTTAAAGTCAGTGTAGGACTTCCCTGGTGGCGCAGTGGTTAAGAATTCGCCTGCCAACGCAGGGAACATAGGTTCGAGCCCTGGCCGGGGAAGATCCCACATGCTGTGGAGCAACGAAGTCCGTGCGCCACAACTACTGAGCCTTTGCTCTAGAGCCCTCAAGCCACAACTACTGAGCCCACGTGCTACAACTACTGAAGCCTGTGTGCCTAGAGCCCGTGATTCACAACAAGAGAAGCCACTGCAATGAGAAGCCTGCGCACCGCAATGAAGAGTAGCCCCCGCACACCGCAACTAGAGAAAGCCCGCGCGCAGCAATGAAGACCCAACGCAGCCAAAAGTAAATAAAATAAATTTATATAAAAATAAAAGGCAATTAGCTCCTGCATATAGTCCTTGCCCCAGGGAGCCAAGGAATTTACATGGGGCTCCGGCCTTGACCATTTTTGCCATGTCCAAGTGCCACCTAAATACTTAATATTTTTTCTTTAAAACACGTGACCACAGGTTTAATGTGTTATGCATACACACAGGTTTTTTCTAAGATGCCTCAAAATAAGTGCATTGCTCTTAAATTAAAAATTAAAGTTCTTGTGTACCACGAGGGGTACATGTACTGCTCTCTGGGAAGCATGGCCTAAGGAATGCTCAGTGTAAAACTTAGCTTCAACAACTATAATCCTGATGGGGGACCAGCTAATTCTCCTGTACCATTGGTCTTTTCTTTCATCTTGCTTTTGAATGGAATCTATTTTAAGAAAGCTATTCTCTTCACTTGTCTAAGAAGTTAGTGAGTTAGGAGTTGAAGGCTGAAGTTTATCAATTCAGTTCCTAATGAAGAACATCCGATAATCTCAATTTACTAAGACCTAAATACAGATCACATGTTCTGGCTTTTTGCCCATCTTTAAATTTATGAGTCAGTCTCTGCTGATAAGCAGAGCAAGGGGGTATTTACTAGATTCTGAACAGAATGCCTAGTAAACAACTAGAATTCCATTATGAAGCGATTGTCCCATAATCAAACGAAACAGGCAATTCTAATACTTAAGTTTGTAGCTTATAAAATAAATGAATTTCATACATCTTTAGTCAAAGTACTTGATCTCTGTGCTTCAATTTTATCTGTGAAATGGGGATAATAGTATCTGTGCTTCATAGAGTTGTCATGAGTATTAAATGAGTTAATATATAAAAAATGCTGTTAATACTAATTATCATTTGAAAGTAGTTCCTCACTAGTTAACGTTAGAAAAAGAACAACTCATCCTTTTGACACTGGTGCTCTGTATTCTGGAAAACATAATAACCATACAGAATCAGGATTAAGAAAATTACTTGAAGTATATTCTGCAAAGCCATCCTCTCCCAGTTCCAGAATCATCCGACGTTTCCACCTCTCCAAACAGGAAATCTGTTCTGAGGTCATGGTCTGCTGAAGGATTCGGGTCACACTTGGTATCGTATTCCTTTGCAAGGGGATTTTCAAAGGAATTGTAGGATCATTTGTTGCATTTGGTTTTCCGCTTTTCTCTGGATTGAAGAGAGGACACCAGTTTCGTGGAACTCCTGCTTCTTCTTGCTTTGGGGCCTTACACTTCCTCACAGGTCCGTAGAGTAAAGCATCTTCCTCAAACAAAGACTGTGGCGCCTGAGCATGGCCTCTGAATGACAAGACAGACCTTACTAAATCAGAGTACTTTTCTTGGTCCACTTCTTCATAAGGGTTCACTTTTTTCTTCCGGCCACACAAATAAGAGGAAGTGGAGAAGACCACACGGGGGGCTGGTTCTACAGAAAACCCCTTTGAACTTTTAAGCTGCCTGAAGATGGTCTGAAATACCTTCATCTTCAGATTTTTTTCACTTCCCTCTAGTCTACTTGTAATGTCGAGGACCTTTTTAATTTTCGCTTTCCTATCAAAGAGAAAAGTGGTGTTAGATATCAAATGTGTTAAATATTTGAACCATCAAAGCGAAAGCTGCAACAGTATGATATTGCACATTAAAATTGTATTCGGTACGCTTTTTCGACATGTTTAACAGAGGAAAACAAACCTAACTCCATACTGAATCTATTACTTTAGCTCTAACCTTTGTGCCCTGTTGCAGGGGGCTTAGTCTTTTCGGCTCTGCACCTTTTGGAAAAGTACGTTGCCTATAGCCTGAAATACACAGGAGAACCCATTCTCAAGGCTCTGACCTTTAAAGGTATTAACATTTTTCCAATCATATAGAGATTAAAAAGTTGCAGAACAGAAAATAACGATCTTGTTGCAGGTATATAGGAACACTGTGACCAGACCTGCGTGGACAGCTGTAAGAACAAAGGATTCTGGCACCAAGAAGTGGGCAACAAGCAGCCACACCCCCTCCCCTTTTAGTATAAAAGAAGCCTTAACTCTAACTGGGGAAGATAGTTCTTTGGGACGTAAGTCCACCATCTTCTCTGGCTGCTGGCTTTCTGAATAAGGTCTCTATACTTTACCCTAACAGCTCATCTGTCAATTTATTGGCTTGTCCTGCAGCCGAGCTTGGACTCAGTAATACTCGGACAAAACTATTTCTAAAGGACCGGCAACTGTTAAACGTAAACTAGACAGCTTGGGGCCACATGTCCCCAGCTATGGAGCCATGTGCCGGCCACGAAGGTAGGCGTGTGTGAGACAAAGAAACACAGGACGCTCGAGGAGCGGCGACAGTTAACAGTGCCTCCACTCATCCCTAAACACCAGATTCTCTGCTACGTATCCTGCGTGGAGAGTTCTCATCTAACCCCTCACACCCTCCAAGGTGGGCACCACTGCGACCCGGCCCGCTCAAGACGCGGCACTCGCGCTCCTGAAGGGTCCCCATTGACCTGCCGGCTAGAGGCCATCAGCAAGGCCCACCGCCCAATCTCCGCTCCGGCGGAGGCGCAGCCCCAGCGGGGACAGGACGGCGGCGGCCCCTCGGGCGGGCGTCAGAGTTAGGGAGGGCCGGCAGGGGAGGTACCTCGGAAGCCGGCGCGCTCTGCTAGCTCCAGGGCGCGACAATCCCGCGAGCAGGTACTTTCGTCAGTCCCGCGCTTTGCTCCAGACTTAGGCCCCGCCCCAGGCACGGCGGCCCCAGCATACACTGCGGTGCTCACGCCCCACCCCTAGCCCCTCGTGCACCTCAGTGGACACTCGAGCGATCCGTGGGGAGACCCTCCCCGCACGCAGAAGCGCGGGCGCCTCCAAATCTCGCCTTCTCTCTCTCTCACGAGATTTCGTTTACGTCAGAGCTCGTCGCCATCTTGGACTCTGACTGAATAATAAATTCCGTCCCTCCAAGAGCGCGCAGCCTTTCTTGAGAAGCGCCTCGTTGGGAGAGTGTCAGGGGCACCGCGTCCCCGTGGCGGGCGGTGGTCGGCGGCTTCTGCGTGGCTCGGAGCGAGGGTAGGCCCCGCGTAGCTTCTTTGCCCGGCTCCAAGATGGACGGCAGCGGGGACGGGGGAGGCCGCCCTGGGGGAGCACGTGGGGCGCCGCTCGCCTTTCCTGGGGCTGCTGGGACGGTGGAGGAGTCGCGAGGCCTCCCGCCGCCGTCGGGCAGAGAGGCTGGCGGAGGCGGGGCCGCGGCCGCCCTCGAGACGAGCCCTGGCGGCGGCGGCGGCCCAGCCTCTTCTCTCCTCGCACAGCCAGGCGGCCACGCTCGAGGCCCGCGTCGCCATGGCCGCGGTTCCCGAGTTGCTGCAGCAGCAGGAGGAGGACCGCAGCAAGGTGAGGCCCTGGCCGCCCTCGGCCCCCGGGCCGGGAGGCCCCGGCGGTCACCCAGACTCCCACGCTCTTTGCCCTGGTTCCCGGGAGGGGCTCGCGGGGCAGGGGCCGGAGACGCGGGAGCGCGCGCTCGGCGTGGAAAGTTGCTAAAACTTCTCGGGGGAGACCGCGCGGTGCACGCGTGATCCGCTTTGCAGCAAACGATGGAGCTCGAAACCGCACCCCAGCCCCTCCAAAATACTGGGGAGATTCAGTCCAGTCAGGTATCGAGAGTGTCTCTTGCAACTTCATAAGCGCTCAGTGCGCCGCTCCGGGAGGGAGTGCTGTCAGTTTTAGGAGGTGCTCAAATAGTTGAACTTAAGTTCGCTCTTAAGATTTGCGTGTTGATGTCAGGTACCCCCATGCCGCTTGGATCTTGAGGTCTAAAAGGTGACTAATGCAGTCAATTTATGTCACCATAAGCAATTGAAGATTGAAGTAAGCCTCCACTTTGATTCGTCCTTTACTTATAAGTTAGTTTGAAATATACAGGGGTTGGTATGAGCCGCAACGTTTTGTGCAGAATCGTCAACAGAAACGTTTTTCTAACAGAAAATCAAAATAACTAATCTAGAAATTCGAGGCGCTCTGACATTTAAGTAACGTGGAAGGCATCTCTTAAGAAATCAAAGGCATTTTTGATCCACAGCTCTTTGGAAAGACCTTTTCATCTAGTGGTGCCAAAGGTCGCACACGGCTGCGGGATTGTTCAGCAAGGGGGTCACAGCTGTATTAGTTACTGAAATGAAGCGTGAGGATAGGGTCTTGATTGGGGTATTTTTATTTCAAAGTGGAAAGAAGTAATTTTTTTTTCCTTCCCTAAAGCCGGAAGTGGGAACTTGAGAACCATTCTTTCTAGAACATTCCAAAGGTAGTTTTCTCTTTAGACGTTTAGATGGCTGAATAGAAATTTGGGTAGATGGATCCCCCCCCCCATCCCCTACCTTCCATCTTCTTTCTTGGTCCAGAATTTATTTTAGACAGCTGTTTAAAACTTCAACCGACCTTCCTATTTGTTAGTATAGTATACCTGTGGTTGGTTTTTAAAATAACTTCCCCACCATTCTGATCCTTGAGCAAAAGAGGATTCTGAAGGCTGTTTCATGCCTCCTGGTTTTAGTGACTACAGGAAAGGATTACATAGAATTATCTTCTTGGTTTTCTTTTAATTGCAGAAATAAGGAAATAGTAAACTTAATAAAATATTACTGTAACACGTGGCTTCATTTTTCTTCCTGGTATCTGATACTAGTCCTGGCATGTGGATCAAGTCTAGATGATTTTTACTGTTCGCCAAAGGGGAGTTTGGGACAAGAGTGGAATAACAGGAGGGCAAATCTTGGGCAAACTGTTCTCTTGCTGTAATTCAACTTTGTTAGTTAACTGAAATATTTTACGTTTTTGCTGAAAATGTAAGTTTAAACTTTTTGATTGCTTTGGAATTTCCATGAGGATAGGGGTTCTTGAGGTTTAGACCCGCTAATAAGGCAGGGAACATAATTAATTCTTGAGAATTTTGAGTGCTCCTGCAGAACTTTTGGCTAGTTCAGCAAAACAGGAGTACTGGCCTATATCCGGTAGCCTGGCACTTCCATTTAGTCATATCCTTTTGAGCTGAAGGTGTTATTTGTCTCCTTTCCCAGAAAGCAGTTGCATGATTAATTTGTTCTTTAACTAGTCCTTTACTGATGGGAAAGATGGTGTTCTGGTCTTTAAATTTAGAAAAGTAAGGTTTTGCTAAGTCGAGCCCCTGAGAAATTTAACTGAACCTTTAACACCATTAGGCCGCATCTTCATGATAAAGAAACTGGTGTAGTGCAGTCCCCGCCCCGCCTCTCGCACTGGCTGCATCAACATTCTAAGGTGTCTGGAGTTTTTAAAGGTTGGGGGGAGAAATGGAGATTATGCAGAACCTTGTTCCCATAAGATATTTACCCAGGTTTCCTGTTTGCCAAAAGGTCCTTTAAACAGTGGGCAGCTCGTTTAGGCTCCCACTCACAGACTCAGTGTATGTCTATTGTGATGAGTCTTGGTCCTGTTAGTCTTGCCAACCTACGGCAAATGGAGTGCGAGTCCTGATTGTCTCCTGGGATTTTTATTATTCTTAACTTGTTAGTGGACTGAAGCAAATGATCACACAGGAGAATCTGTAAGGGCCCTCCCCAGCCTAGTGCTGTTACTTTCACCTTAACTTTCACTAGTTGGTTACATGGGCTTTGGGTGGACAGTGTTTCCTTCCCAGAGCCAGTCATTAATGTTTTACATTTATGCTGCTGCTCTGGTTTGCAGATTGTTAACTGGTGTGGAAGTTGTCTCTAGGGACACCACTCTCCACCAGCTTAGATGAAGAGTGTTAAAATTTATGTTAGTATAGGAACAGTCCTGAATTTTCACCAATACTGCAGCAAGTCCAGAGTAACTGATTCTTGTGGACTGAAGATTTGTACTGTTTATGGCTTGACTTCTTAAATTTGGGAAGTGTGGCTTCTCAAAGCTGCCCAAGCCTTAGTTCTGGATCAGTAACTTGCAGACAGTGTCTTAAGATCCCCATTTGTGAATACTACTATAAGCAGGTCATGATCTGCCCACTTTTTTTTTTTTTTTTTTTTTTTGGCTGTAGGAAGAAATGGCTTAGGGCAACTATGAGAGAATTTTCTGGATTCTGAGATCCAAATTCTCATTTGCTATGAGACGTAGTAAGTGACTAACATCTAATGTAGAGCTTCAGTTTAAACCAGGGTTTCTTAACCTGAGCATTACCGATTGACATTTTGGGCTTGATAATTTTTTGTTGTGGGGAATTGTCCTTCCTGCATATTGTAGCAGTATTCCTGGCCTTTATTGGGTACCTGTAGCTCTCTTCCCTTCATCAGTGACAGTCAAAAATAAATGCAGACACTGTCAAATGTCCCTTGGTTGAGAATCACCAATTTAAAATTTCTAAAATGGTGTGATATGGGTGGGTCAGATCGTTGACTATCTTTGGTAGAATTAGCCTTCCCCCCAGTATTGAGGAGCCTTACCAAAAAATGGTAAAGGGTTCTGGGCAGTTGAGAGTTACAAACTCTGCTGTGTTTACCATGTTGGAGTTCACTGCCCCCTTTGGACAGTGGAAACCTGAGGCTCGGATGCCACAGTACTCACAAAGCATTGTGGTGCAGAATTGAAGATCACTGAGAAATGTGCTACAGGGTGGAACTTGGTTTAAAAATCCTGCTTTTTTGCTCTGTTGTCCTGATTGCTTGAGGATATTAGGATGTACTTCTGTAGGTCAGTAGTACCACTGGCCAGTGGTGAAAGGCACATATAGTGAAGTTAGGTTGTATTTAGGGAAACAACCTTTTAATGAACCCAGTTATTCAGAGAAAAGTATTTTTGCGCTTTATAAGTTCTGCCTTTTATTTTTGAAATAGCGAAGGGATAGTGGGAAATATTGTCTTGCATGAATAGCAAATTTGTTTTTTACAGGTTCAAATTGAGAAGTTTCTCTACATCTTTACATGAGAAACTAGCTCCCCCCCCAAAAGAAAAAAAAAGATACTTCACCTCCAACACCTGTATGTTTTCTGATTGGCCATTGAGTTAACTCTTAAGAAGAGAGATTTCCCCCTAAAAGGGGGATATGGAATTTCTCAACTGTTTCATACCCCAAAGGCAAACCGTAAATACACAGGGAGGAGTGAAGTTGTAGTTTGAGGTTCAGGAGAGACTGAACTTTAGTTTAGAGATTGGGTTCTTGGCTTGACTCCCCCGCTTCCTTTTAGAAATTTGGTGTAACTTTTTCAGGCACTGCTATATGGTCTGGAGAGAAAAGTGTAGTTTTCTCAAAATAGTTGCTTATGTTAATCTGTGGTATGCGTTTTCTGCCAGAAGAGTTTATGGTTTACTTGTTTTTGAGGGGCAGATCCCTAAGCCTTTGGGTCTAGTTAGTGTAAATGGTGAGGAGCACAAATGCAAATGTCACCAGCCTTAAGGCTTTCACCTGATCTTTAATGAAGAGCAGTACAAAGCTTACATGTTGTGCTAGTGGGGACCAGGTATCTGGTGAGGGATGAAGGGCTGAAATATTTATATCTGAAAGATCTGCGAAATGTGTGGTGCCTCTGACTAGCGTACAGGAATCCCACCAGGAAGCAGGCAAGCTTTTCTTCTCTCCACGCTGCCATTTGTATCTTTAACTCATGACACAAGCTCAAGCTCAGCTCCATCCACGTTGCTGAATCATCCTTGTTGGTAAAGGTAAATTTTATTCTCAAATCTTTTTCTATTTCATCTTGGGTTGATCATAAAGTAAGACTGCTTTGTAGTAAGGAGCCGTGGACTTGATAGACCAGGAATTTTTGGAAGGGAGACTTGATGAAATCTAGTAGTAGGTGAAGGGCTTTAGCTTTGAATGGAGGAAATTAGTTTTTTGTTTGTGGCAGCTTCTTCCTCTGTAGCAGTGGTATGTTGATTCCCAATAGAATTTCTGTGCTAGATCATTATAGATCATGTGGTTAAGCGTTTCACTTTGTGAACTCCTGAAAATAATCCAGGTATCTTGCAATTAGATGGATTGTAATTAGATGAATTTCACAATGAATTTTATTTTAGCCAATAATTCAACTTAATCTCTTTCTGGTTCCACGTTGGGATTCCACTGGCTCGTGGGCTTGCAGCCTTGTGAAATGATGATTCAGTTTATCCATTCGCTGAGTGCGCTGCACTGACCTTCTTCGAAGCCTGGATTTCTGTTCTAGGAGCTCTGGGCTGCGTAGCCTCCAAATGCCCTGCAGTCTGCAGTGTTCTACTGTGGACAGCTTGTGTGTTGGTGGACTACCGGTAAGAATGGTTGGTGTCAGCAGGGATGGGTCCCTGTGGGTCTCATCTCACCAAGATGAGTGGTGGAAATCTGATCACTTGCTGCAGCTCTTTATCTAGTTGTTAAGCTTGTGGCTAGTTTCCATAACTATTATCTATGTTAGTAGACTGAGATCTAGAAGTCTTTGGTTCTGTTGTCCTTGAGGACTATGATATGATACTGGCAGGCCTGAATTATAGGAAGGGGGGAGCCAGTGGTGGTGGGGGGGAGATGAACACATATACCTGTAAAAGCAGCTCATGTATTGCACAGTCAGTTCAATTGTTTTTCATGTACCAGTGCCTCAGGGATAAGTGGGATAGAATACAGACAAGTTTTGGTTACCTTCAGGGTGGGAGAAAATAGTGAGAAATAATTCAGTACCATTACAGTATTTGAGCCATAAAGAGGGGTTCGGAGAAAGATACAGTATGAGAATTTCTTACAGAGCACTTCCTTCCTGTGAGCTGAAACAGTAACAAAGTAATATATGTTTCGTAAGTATGTATCATGTGAGTCAGTTTTCAGAAATTACTGCAAATCCAGTGTGTCTGCCGCAGAGCATTTTTGGTTTTATTTCCTCACTAGTGAGTATTGGATTAGGCAAGGTATCCGTACCTGTCTAGCTGAAATATGGCCTGGTTGTTTCTTGCCTGTTCTGGCTCCATGCTGTTTACAGACCATTCAAAGATTATTTGTCATATTGGCCCTCTCCCTGGTAGGGGTCTTTAGTACCTTAGCCATTGGGTGAAGGGAAAGCAAAGCAGAATCCTTAGGAGAGAAACAGTTTGAAGGAGAGGCACACTGATGTAGCATGTGCTGGTTAAGTACATTTCTGCTTCGATACTGGAGAATGGAAAGTCATTTCAGTGTATACATGCAGGCTTTTCTTCTATCTGCAGTAGTTCCCTTGCAACATTCAAATTAAGATGGAAATATAGGGGCTGGCATATTCAATTTCTTGCATGTATACAAAACTGGTTAGACTTAAGTGGCTATTCAACTAGACGCCATTCTAGCAGATCAGAGTGACTGTGGAGATGATTTCTTCCCATTGTGTTTGTCATTTGGCTATATGGCAGTAATGTAAACTGGAGTCTGCAGCTGCCATAACATTTTTTGTACTTTATGTATCTTCTTTTGTGGGTTCTGAATTTCTGAATCTGGCTTTCTGTGTCGTCCAGCCACAGAGATGCTCTTTGCCATCTGTGTGCCACTTAACCTTTTGAAGAGGAGGCTTTGCAATGGCGTTGCAATGGCGTTAAATTAAAGTTGTGTACCAAAGTGAGTCATAAGTGAGATCTGGACCAAAAGTGGTCCTTAGCAGCTCAGAGCTTTGCAGATCTGTCCTGTGGCCAGTGTCAGGTGCCCCAGCTGGGAGGCTGATGAACAAGTGAGGGAATGCACAGGGATTGATTTAGTTTTTCTCCTTTTCAGCTCTCTTACCAAGCCTTCAGATTTCTTAAAACAGTTAAAATTTTGTTTTCTAAATGAAGCGATGCTTGTTTACCCCCTTTTCTTCTCACAAAGATCACTGTAATCCTTACTGTAAGGATTAGTCTGATAAGGAAGTATATTGGGGACTGAAACTCCATCTAAAACTTGGAGTATGTGATGTAGTGGTTTCTGTGGAAATCTACAAAAGAAAGTCTGTTTTAAAACAACATTGCGCATTGGAGAATAAATGTGTTTTAAATTTGATTCTCACCAGTGACCTAAGGGAATGGGAAAGGGAAAGTTAACGTGCCTAAGGTTAGACTCTGTTCTGAAGCCTGCCTCTCCTGCCTGCCTCTCCCCGCTGCTTTAAACAGCTGTCCCAGTCATTTTGACACCTGTGGCCCAGGTCAGACAGTGTTGGCCAACAGGGCTAAGGCAGCACTCTGGGCACTTATTTAGGCTAGGGGGCAGAGATGGTGAGTGGGCGAAAGTGTATGGACGCGTGTCACCCACTCGCTGTACCCTCCACCCTGTTGATTATTTAGCAAGTACTGTGCCGTGGGGCTATGGAGTGTTGGTTCTGTTGACCAAGCAGAAAAAGGAATGCTGAGCTTTTAATCACAGTTGATGCTTCCGGAGTGAGGAGACAGTGCTGACTTAGAAGCTTTAAACATTTCACGACTTTTTACTCCTTGGTGATTTATGGGCTTCATTATCTGGAGGGTTATCTTGCTACAATACAAGAAAGTTCCTTTGACTTGTGAATAGGGATCATTTGAGTTGGTGATGGTCTGCATACTCAGAATTTTGCCACCATCCTTTTTCAGACAATTCTTTGAGGCCCAAATGCAGACTTTTCCGTGTTATCTGTTGTGGGTTTCTTTTTTTTTTTTTTTTTTAATTGTTTTGTTTTCGTGGTGGGGTGGGAGTGTTTATCATGTCAGGTGGTGGGATTGTTGAGTCCCTTCCTAGGGTGGTATATTTAGGCAAAAGTGATTACTGCTGGAGAAGCTGAGTGCTTGGCATCTTGTTATAGTGCACAGTCTTTCCAAACCTCTAGTGGTTTTTGTTATTTTGTGTTCTCATCACACTCTTAGACTAAAAAACAAAATATCTTTGCTGACAAGAAGATAGTAACACAGTGAATAACCTGGGCTGTTACTTCTGTATGGTTGGAGGTGTGGGAAAGAGGTGACATCTGATGTTCGCTGGTGAAATCCATTGCTGCTTTGACTGGTGCTTCAATGAGCCCCGTTTACTAGATTACATTCCCCTTGGGTCTTCTAACCCTAATTCCCAAGGCAGTCCTTGTGGTGCTCGCAGGCTCACTGGGCTGGGAGTGAGCTAAAATGGAATTGACGGTGTGTTCAGAAATTGAGAGACTGCTGGAAACCAGGATTTGTGACCTCATTAGGAAATGGAATCTCAGGAAACATGGCTGTTGTTGCTGAACTCAGGGAAATGCACCTTAGACACGGTCCCTGGGCCGGCCCCATCTTTCCACCAGTAACCTGACCTACTTTATTCCTGTACTGACTCTTGACGCATACAAACATGAGATCAGTGGGGTGGCCAGTATTCTCTGCAGTCAAATTTAGTGTATATTTTGAGGTCTTTTTGAATGCTGCATTTGCCCAGTGGTAAATTATCAGAAGGAAGGAAGCTTTTATCAGAAATATGTCAGAGAGTCACAGCTGTGATAAAATGAAGTATCCCTGACCTTGAAGCTTTATCTTTCTTTGCAGAGATTTTATAAATGGACATGTGAAAATTAAGCCAAACAAGCAAATATTTCATAGGAGTCATCACGAGTTCACTTGGAAGATGTATTTAGGTTGACATGTAAGGAACTGTTAAGTATATTGTGATCTTAAAATACTTGATGTTAAAAATCAAGTTCTGATGGCAAGAACGTGAGCCTTAGTTCTTAGAAGAAAGCCATTGTTCTAAGGGCTCACTCTGGTTTTTGCAATTAAAATTTTTTTCTTGGTCACAGTGCTGAAGGAAAAGGGAAGTACTGACAGTTTCTGAGATACTACAAAGGAGAGAGAAGTAATCCATGTGTTCTTAGAGAATATGTTTAATCTTTTCATACCTAATAGAACCAGTTTTTCTATTTTCAGAAGTTCATCAGTCTTTGGTCTTTTTATTTTGAAGAAAGGAATTCAAAGGGAAATTTAAAGGGAAATACTCAGGATTCCCTGTTCTCTCATCCTCTTAACTCCAGTCTTCACTTGGCATTTTCCTTAATAGTCTAGAGGGTTCTGGCAACTTTAGCACTAGTTTACAGTTGGGGGCTGGGGGAAGGATGAGGTGTTTAATCCCTGCAATCTCTTATTTGTGTCAGGCCTTCAGATCCACTCACTGTCAGCTTGTCTGTCTTAAGAATGAAAGAAATTATCATATTTTAGACTCAGTAGGAAAGCTTTTTTTTTAAAGCAAGACCATTTTAACCACTTTTTCCTAATAGTCCACTTCTTCCAAGAATTCTTTTTAAACAGTCAAAACTGGAGTTGGATATTATTTTCCTCTGAGTTTCCAACTAACAAAAATCATTTACTTTTGTTTCCAGGGCAGTGCTCACACTTCTTCCTTATGTGTAATCGCAGTGGAATTCTGATAATTAAGGCCTTTGTTGGTTTTTACAATTCACTTCTTGTGTCTAGATTTCGCATCTCCTTGACAGTCCCTGAATATCAATAGGTCCACTCTTGAGTGGGTTTTTATCTCTCCACGCAAGATCCCACACCACCTGACTGTTCTCTGTACTTCCAAGTTTTCCCAGCCTCTAACTTTCAGATATACGGACAGTCTGTTAACGCCTCTTGAATGTTCTTGTAATTTGGGCATTTATGTAAGAAGTTCATGATTTCGTTTTATCCAGTTGAAGCCGCCTTATTCTTAGTACAGTTCTTCAATTATTTGGTTAAATGTATTTTTCATGTACACATAAAGTATGTAATGTACATGATATTAGAATTATATAGTTGCTTTGTTTAGATTACAGGAATTCACTGGACCCACCCATGCATTTAAGAGCAGGTTTCCCCACAGTTTCAAATACTATCTCAACTTTGTTCTAAAATAGAACAATAGAAGTCTTGTATAGACTGCTTTTTAATTACTAGCTCCCCGTTTTTGGAAGGATACTTTTTAGGACTAAAATGAACTTGAGACTAATAGCCAAAAAATGTATTTCAGCTGAGATCTGTGTCAGTGGACCTGAATGTTGATCCCTCGCTTCAGATTGACATACCTGATGCACTCAGTGAGAGGGATAAAGTCAAATTTACGGTGCACACCAAGGTAAGTGACAGAATGACTTCAGTAATAAAAACAGTGCCAGGTTGCAGCCTTGTTATTCACAGTGGGTGTGAGAAGAGACCTAGTGACCTGAGTGCAGTGTGGCACTCCTGCTAAGTGAGGCCCCTCCCTCCACTTGCTCCTAATAAGCATCAGATGAGTGCTCTTCTTACAGCATTTTCTACTGTGGTGGAGCCCTGGGGCTGTGGGCTTTGCTGGTGTTTAGTGTGGCTTGTGCTCTGCTCCGTGGGGAAGCAAACCAGGCAGAGCGACAGAGCTGGAGCCACCTGCCACAGAACTCCACCTTTGTTTGTAATTTGTGTACGTGGGAAGTGCTTGCTTTTCCCATATTTACTAAGTTCTTGGCCGTCACCCCACCTATTATGATTCAGAAGAGGTTTTTTTCTTCCAGATTTTTAAAAAAATTTACTTTGAAGTATAACTGATTTATAATGTTGTGTTAATTTTTCTCCAGATTTTTAATTTGACAAAAGCAATATGCCAATCTGTGAAAAATATAGAAAATTTAATTCCTTGGGATCTTTTCAGGAACATTTTTAGCCTCCTTTCTCCTTCCATACTAGTTAAAATATATTGAGTGCTTGTCTTATGCCAGGCACTTTTGTAAAGGGTTTACATAGGCTTAATTTTCTCTTTCTAACAATCTTATGGTATTCTGTTATCCCCATCTTACAGGTGAGGAACTGAGGTACAGGTTTAAATGAAGTAAATGGCTGAGGCACAATTTGAGTCAGGAAGTTTGAAGCTAGAGCTCTTGGTTTATGCCATCTCCAGCATAATATTGGTAATATGTTGTCTATGAGGTCCTCTCCCATGAGGTTTTCTCTGTGTACCTTGGTGGCTTGGTGGTATTAACATACCTGTCACTCAGGCAGCGTGAGGCCTACGTGATTATATCTGTTTGAGTTGACCTGAAAGGTGGAGATTTGTGACTAGAATTCCGTAAAGAACGTGTTGAATCTTAGCTTTGTTCTTTATTGGATCTCATTAAAAAACTGGATGTTCTATTATGCAGAATTTTCCCATAGTGCACTGCATGAAACCCAAGCCACTTTATCTGAAAATAGTAGTTAACAGTCACTTCTTTTTTCTTTACAGACCACGCTGCCCACGTTTCAGAGCCCAGAGTTTTCTGTTACAAGGCAACATGAAGACTTTGTGTGGCTACATGACACTCTTATTGAAACTACAGACTACGCTGGGCTTATTGTAAGTACGTTTTGGGTAATCAGATAATTACTGAAGCCAATTTCTTCTACCTTGCTGTTCATTTTGTTTTGAGAGACTTTTACCCACTTTTATTTATAATAGATTGTGAAAATAGTCTGATATCATTTGTCAACTAGAGTATGTGTTAGCTATTACTGGTAAAATCTAAAGTATGTGAAAATAGCGTTTTAGCTGTAAGATGAAGCATAGTCTTATATTCTGTACAATAAAAGAGAGTAAGCAGTTTCATGGTGTAAAGTCTTGTCTACCTTTGGGTTTAGCATTTCTCTGGCATTTCCTTTCAGCCATCAAGTGGAATTGATCTCTGCTGGTGGTAGTGTGTGCTGGGTTTCTCAGGTGTGTTCTGCTGAAGGCGTAAAGGGGGCAGTTGTCTTTGTGCTTGGCCCTTGAGAGTTAATGCGTGGCTCTGGGAAGAGACTTAGCTGATTTTATTTATTTTTATTTTTTGGCTGCACTGTGCAGCTCACAGGATCTTAGTTCCCCAACCAGGGATTGAACCCACGCCCTCGGCAGTGAAAGCGCAGAGTCCTAACCGCTGGACTGCCAGGGAAGTCCCTTAGCCTATTTTAAAGGAGAGAGAAACATGGCTTTTCCTGCCAGGCCAGCTGAAGAATCTGGCCAAATAGTTAAACAAAATCAGTACTGAAGCTTATGTTTAAGAATGTCCACACAAAATTAGAATCTTTTATCCTCTGGAATAAATTCCTTTATAAATCCAGAGATTATTATCTTCATCGTACTTCATTGGCTTCATTTTAGCATTGATTGTAATATATAAATTAAACTGACAATTGAAGCAGGATAAACTGTCATACCTACCAACTGTCCAGTGATTAACCGAACAAATGATTGCAGTCAAAGTGAGTGCCCATTGTAGGGGACACTTCTTTTAAATGGCCGAAAGGAATAAGGTTAAGAGAAAAGTGCAAGTTGATTTTCAGGCAGCCCCACTGGGCTCCCTGCCTCCTGTGCACAGGCACTGAGTTGCACATCTCGGGGGCAAGAACCCTCACGAGTTACTGCCTTGACTGCAGATTCCGCCCGCGCCTGCAAAGCCTGACTTCGACGGCCCTCGAGAGAAGATGCAGAAACTGGGAGAGGGTGAAGGGTCTATGACCAAAGAAGAATTTGCCAAGATGAAGCAAGAGCTGGAAGCGTAAGTGCATTTTCTTGATGGGGGCTCTACCCTTTGAGAATAAAAGTGGTGATGTGTGCAGAAACGAGAATCTGACAGCTAATTTCAGTTAATTAGTTACCTGGCTATTGTCTTCTCAAACCACATTTTGCAGAGTGTGGGTGAAGGGGCCTGGTCTTTGTACTTTAGACATTGATTCCCTGGGGACTGCTGACGCTGAGTAGATGGTGGTTCTATCTGTAGACCATGCTTGTCATGGAGTGTTGGTCTGGCATAAAGTGAAGAACTAAACGTTTGTCTTTATATATAAACAAGTCTTCAGGCTGTGATAATGTACAAAACTTTCTTCCCTGAAGTTTGTTTACTGGAAGTATGGTTGAAACTAGATGGCAGTGAGTGCTGCTACAAAGAAGCATTCTAAGAATAGCCACAGCTATGGCTCTTAATCTGGTTGTAATTCTTTCAAAGAAAAATGGATTCTTTATTCTGTATCATAGTTGGAGGTTTGCATACAGTTTCTTATGACGCCCTCCTTGCACTTCTTTCCGTTGGCTCCCTCCCTTCTTCGGGGTCCATCTCAGCGAGTCTCTTCAGCATGCTGCCACAGGCCCATTAGCCTGGTACCCCGTGGACAGCTCTGAGGATAGAGCGCTGAACACAACAGACAAGTTCCTACTGTTGGGAAGTTTAGAGTCATCTCTAGTGTGTAGATTAAGATGAAGCCACTTAGTAGTTTCTGATGGTTCCAGGCTTTGTTAGACTCACTGCTGTGTACATGGCTGCAAAATTAAAGGGTTTTCATGGTTATAAAGAAGCCAGTGTTTTGTGCTTAAGTACACGTGGGTTTGGGCTTCACAGATGTACCCTATCAACTCTGGTTATATCGCTTCCCCTTTCGGTGGCTGTTCCACAGATTCCAAAACGAGAACTGCCTTATTACCTAGTTGGATGCTACATTATACCAAGCTGCTTTGGGTCCAGTTGAGGTGTTCTGCATGGCTGCAGGAGCAGCACAGTGAGGTCCCAGGGAGCAGTGTTGGGTGGTCAGCTGAGCTGAGGCCTTGTGCGCTTCTCTTCCAGTGAGTATCTCGCGGTCTTCAAGAAGACTGTGTCTTCCCATGAAGTCTTTCTTCAGCGGCTCTCCTCTCACCCTGTTCTCAGTAAAGATCGCAACTTTCACATTTTCCTGGAATATGATCAAGATGTAAGGCATTTTTATTCCATTTCCATGATCCAGTTAAAATGTACAAAGAATATACTTGATACATTTTCTGAAAAATTGACTTTCAAGGTTGAGTTTCTTATCAACACAACAGAAACCTTTCTTAGATGCTCCTCCCCTTGCCTACCTCCCCCAGGGCAATAGATCCAATGTGTAAGGCATTTTTATAAAATGTTCCATGTAAATATTTTGACCTTTTTCCCCTCAGTTAAGCTTGGGATTATTCAAAATAATTTAAGTTGATCCACATTTGTTTTATTCATTGAAAGAGACATATGCTTGCTTTTTTACAAAAATACGTTATATTTCTTGCTGTTTAATATGTATGAGGCAAGCCCTGACCTAGACATTTCCTCACAGGTCTTCTAACCAGTGAATAATCAACATAACAGCACAGTAATTCTATCAAGAATTTAAAGGCACTAAGACTTGATATTGATACCTAGATAGTTTTTCACAATATCTCCTAAGTCACACTTTTAGAATTACAACCTGTGCTTAGATTTAGCTGTTTATTTGATATTTTAGATCTGTTGTTAACGATGGAATTAGAGGTATCTTAAGTGTATACTTATACTAGTAAACAATTACTTGGAATGTGTTCAGGACTTGATGGGAAATATATGTACCGTTAACTGTTTTGGATTTCTCCTTAGCTAAGTGTTAGGCGGAAAAATACCAAAGAGATGTTTGGTGGCTTTTTCAAAAGTGTGGTGAAAAGTGCTGATGAAGTTCTTTTTTCAGGAGTTAAGGTAAGTGGCCTTTAGCTATTTGAGAAAATTCTTCTCTTTGTGTGAATAGGTGACCTTTTGTTTCTTCAGAATAGATATTTGTGAAACAAATGGTATTAGCTTCTCAAAAATGTAAATAATTTTTTTCAAATTTGGTTATTTTTATCTACTCATTGAATTTTCACTTATTTTCCAAAAATACTCTGTTCTTTCCCAGGAGAAGGGATAAGAACCTTTCCACACTTAAATCTTCATTTTCTCCTTTTCTGTAAGGAGAGGTTACTCAGTTATTTTTTTAAAAAAATAAGCTACAAGACCAGTATTTCATGCTATTCTCCAGAATTGCACTGCCCCCTGGTAGCCCCAGCCTCAGGTGGCAGTAGAGCACTTGACAGATGCAGTTGGCTGGTGTAATAAAGGAACTGAATTTTTTGTTTACATGCTGGATTTCAAGGACTTGATAGGAAGAAAGAACCATAAAATATAGGTTTTACCTGTTTCTTTTTATAATGTGGTTACTACAAAAGTTTTAAGCGGCACGTGTAGCTCACATGTTTCTATTGGACAGTGCTGTTCTAGAACATCAAATAAATGTACAAGTTTCTCACTAGCCTTGTAGGTGTGGTTTATTTCTTCACTCCTCAGCGCCCCTCCCTTCTACCATAACAGTTACTGTCTGGTGTCTGACTTTGCCACTTCAGGGCTTGAGTAGGGAGCCCAGGGTGTAGGTGCTGAGAAAGACAGGGCGTTGTCAGAAATGTGGAAGCTCTGGGGCTGTCTCTGGCACAGCTGAAGGTGTGCTGTCCCCACGCATTGCGGGGGCGTTTGGCATCCCTGGTCAGTGCCCACCAGATGCCAGCATTGCCTCCCAGTCTGGAACCGAACACATTTGGCAGGTGCAGGTATCCGAGGCGAGGGAGCCACCCACTGGGTGGAACCACTGCTCTAGCGGAATTGCTGGAGGTTAGAGAGGATGCTGAGTTTTACTGGGCTGTGCTAAATGGCTCTTCAAAGTGGTTCTCTCTGTTGACATTTCCTGCCAGCATTTCGCTTTTCCTAATCCCAGGTATAAAAAGTGCATTTCAAAAAAAAATTATTTTTATTTCCCTAGTCTTTAGAGGTTAAACTTCTTATGCATAAGCTTATTTCTTTAGTGTTTTTTTCTAATATAAAATACATATTTGTAAGAAGTTTTGCTTCTTAGACCTCTCTTTTCCTTCCCTTTAGGAAGTAGATGACTTCTTTGAGCAAGAGAAGCATTTCCTCAGTAACTATTACGATAGGATCAAGGGTTCCTGTGCAAAGGCTGACAGAATGACCAGCGCTCATAAAAGTAAATACTTTCGCCCATTAGCCCCTTAGTCTGCTAATGTACCAGCTCTGCTCACATAAAAGGGCTATCCTTGTTCCTGCAGATGTAGCAGACGATTACATCCACACCGCAGCCTGCTTGCATAGCCTGGCTTTAGAAGAGCCCACGGTCATCAAAAAGTAAGTTTTTGTTGGAAAACATTTTCTCTAATCCCCTAATTGAAAACTGTTGGGTGGTAAAATGGGTAATGACTACACAGGTTCAGTTCCGCTCTTGAGCCAAGCCCATCTCGGGTGGACCATAGTCTCCAGCACTCACTTTATACTGTACACCCTCTGAACATAAGTACTTGTAAGACATTTGTAGGGGACTCAGGGCACTTCTGTACCAAACGTGATAGTTGTTGTCAAAGCCTTTATTTCTGTCAAACTTACATGTGTCTGTTGTTGATTCTTTTGATTTTGGAATTGTCTTTGAGAGAAGTTTGCTTTGTGTTTTCTGGCAAATGGTGCTTGCGCTTTACTCGGTAATGCCCTGGGCTGACTTGAAGAGATTTGGTTAAGGTAGCCATAAGGGTAAAGTAATGATCCCAGTCTGATTTTGAGCATTTTTTTATATTAATTTTTCACAGTTTCTTCATTCTAGTTATTTCTGGTGTGGGATGGTATAGTTGGCCCCTTCCATGTCTGTGGGTTCTGCATCTACAGCTTCAAACAATTGCAGATCGAAAATACTTGTTTTTAAATTCCAGAAAGTTCCAAAAAGCAAAACTTGAATTTGCTGTGCATCAGCAACTATTTGCATAGCACTTACGGTGTACTTACAACTATTTACATAGTATTTACATTTTATGCGTGATAAGGAATCTAGAGATGATTTAACATATACAGGAGTGTGTATGTGCATTATTTGCAAATACACCATATAGATAAGGGACTTGATCAACTGTGGATTTTAAGCTCTGTGCAGGGTGGGCACTGTATCCTGGAACCATCCCTCACTGTTACTGTCAAATGACTGTGTTCTACTTACACCTAGGCTTGGTCTAGGGGGCGTTAGTATTTCAGACTTGAAAATGGGAGTCAGGCTGATGGCAGAACCAAGACAAACTAGTAGCGTATTTATGGCTTAGAACCTGACCTTGGCTAACACAAGTTTAACAGCGGATAAAAACTTGGGGACACAGGTTCTGCACAGCAAGGTGGCTGAGTGGCAGCAAGAGAGACCAATGCCGGTGAGTGCAGCACTGGAAATGTGCTCGATTTCGTAACCATCTTCTCTGCTAGTTTGGGCCACTTGTGATGAAAGCATTGCTTTGATAAGTTAATTCTAAAGCGCCACAGACTAGGACTCCTGAATTTGCCCATTCATGTCTTAGAGCATTGATAAGATCATATTTCATACATGATTTAAGACCGTAAGCCGAAATCGTGTATATTTGCAGGTACCTATTGAAGGCGGCTGAGCTATTTGAAAAACTTAGGGTAAGGATTTTTATGTTGGTCTTCAAGGTATGTGTTTTATAATCTGTAGATTTCTGCTTAGATGATGGTGGCCTTTGATTTTTTAACAGAAAGTAGAGAGTCGAGTCTCCTCAGATGAAGACTTAAAGCTGACAGAGCTCCTCCGATACTACATGCTCAACATAGAGGCTGCTAAGGTGAGGGAGTTCTCCCAGAAGAGGTCTGATGATACCGATGTATTCTCTTTGTTAAAAATGAAAGAAGATGGGAATTTGTCAGGATTGTTCATGCAAGTGATGTCAGCCTAAATAAAGAAGTAAACTGAGGCAAGCTCGAGTTTCTTCAGGAGTAGGAGAGGAGTTGCATGCAGTGTGGGAAACACTGTAGCAAGCCACAGGAGAGTCCATTGAGGGTGTGGGGTGGGATGTATTTTGAGGCAAGGAGTGCAGAGAGGAAGAGTCTTTGGCGGTAAGATGGTTGGCGTGAGGGAGCTGGTCCCCACCAGTAAGCTCATTGGCTGGTGTTCACTGGTCAGGAGGTAAGTCTGGGTCTCCTGTATATCAGGTGTTTGTGGGAAATCAGTCTCTCAGTTCTTAATTTGTATAGTTATATTCTGAGGGTGCGGGTGTGTATCCTCCAGTTCCGTTTTAGATTGAAATCATCTCACAGTGACGTGCCTTTTTTGTGACATTGTGTCCTTAGTTTGCATTGCTTAGGAACTTAGGGGCAGTAGGGCTGGTGCCGAGTAGACAGGTAATGGCTTGGGAGATTATATGCTGTTGGATGCAGAGATAACCGGACACATGCCAAAGGGGCTATTTCTGAGGCAGAAAAGGCTTTGGGGTTGTGATCTTTTATTGAATTGCAGTTGTCACTGCAGCCTTTGAGTCATAGAGCATTACTTAACCAAAAGCAAGGTGAAATGGTCGGCAGAATGACCTTTGGGAATGGAACGTGCATTCTTCACTGTCTACACTGTCCTGAAGAAAAATGTTTAAATTATTTTTATATGAAATATACTAAACCTGCCAGCATAAAATTAGGTAGGGAAAATACCTAATGGGAAAATGTCATCAGGAAGTAGAAATTCATTCTTTCCTCCATAGTTTAGTTTTATTTTAGGTGACTTGTCTTGTGACATGTTTTCTTAGAGAAAAAAAATCCTGTAGTCGTCACTGTTTGGTTCCTTCTCTTGATCTGTATAAAGAATGCCGGAAAGGCCGTCAGTAATGCATTAAGCACTGCTATTACCAGCCTAATGTTGAGATTTAAAGTGGGGGCGGTGCAGGAGGTGGTTGATGTCTGACATTTTAGGCAGTGCCCCAAGGTACTTGTCTGTTTTTTAGAGTACTTCAGATAGTCTTCCTGTTCTGTTCTAGAGGTTTTTCGGTATTGGTTTAACTACCATGCATCATATCTGTTAATTTTCTTCTCAGGATCTCTTATACAGACGCACTAAAGCCCTCATTGACTATGAGAATTCAAACAAGGCGTTGGATAAGGCCCGGTTAAAAAGCAAAGATGTCAAGCTGGCTGAGGCACACCAGCAGGAATGCTGCCAGAAATTTGAACAGCTTTCTGAATCTGCAAAAGAAGGTTGAGTGGGGCCACTTTTTATTTACTTTTTGCTTTTTATTAGGAAATAATCTCAAGCTTACAGAGAGAAGTTGCACAAATGGTACAGAGAACACCCATACATCCTCTGCCTTGTCACTTGCACACGTACATGTGCTCCTACTTGTGTGATTTTATAAACATATCTGGGTGGTTTTTTTTTAACCATTTGAGATTAAGTTGTATCTTTCTTAGTCGTTTTATCCCTGAAAACTTCGCTGTGTTTCTCTTACATCCCTACAGTACAGTTACCAACTTTGGTGACCTTTGATACAATACAGAGTTGTCCTCTCCCCCACTCCTCCAGGTCAGCACTTGGTGCTGTCTATCCTTTATTAACACAAGCCTTCCCTTCTCTCCCATATTTTTTTTATCATCTTCATTAGACCCATGGATTCCTGTTTTCAAACAGTTTTAAAATTCATGACTATACGAAATTATTTTGGTGTTCCTACTGTCCAGACTGAGCCAGTGAGAGCGCCCTTAAAGCTGGCGTGGCCTTATGACAGCCCCGTATTTTTGAGGATTAGATGTTTTGTGCTAATCTTAGACCTTTTCTACTCCAGCCATGAAAATCGCCATTTCTTCCAGGAGCCCAGATTGAGTGCTACGTGTGCTCATTTCTTCTGGGGTGCCTCTGCTTCTAGACCTTTCAGCCAACAGTGGGGAAATATCAGGATGTGTGCATACATGTATATACTCTTCAGGGATCATGAGTCTGTGATAATGACTCAGTTGTATTCCATCTCCACAGGGTTGGTTCTTGCCTTCTACCATTCCAGAGTAAGGGGCTTTTAAAATATAATTTAGGAATTCCCTGGTGGTCCAGTGATTAAGACCCTGTGCTTCCAATGCAGGGGGCACAGGTTCAATCCCTGGTCAGGGAACTAAGATCCCGCATGCCACGCAGCATGGCCAAAAAAATAAAATAAAATTGGGAGATGGTGTACCATATCCATTGAACATGAGTGTACTCTAGGTAGTCTTTTCCTTAGTGGGGATCTCCCTGCCCTGAAGTTCTTAGGGGCCATGGAACATGCCAGAGCAAAAAGTAAAGACTGTGTCTTCCAGAATGTGAATGTAAATTAGAGTGGACACTTGATTCACCCTCAAAACACCCTCCCCCTTCAAAACTCAGGTTTCCATGTGGAATCCGTATCTCATTATAAGACTGTTTCCTCAGAACTTCCCCCTCCTCTTTGGCGCTGCAGTCCCGGTGTATCTGGAAGAGCTCTGCTCCTTTGTCTTGGCTTCTCTCTGTTCAGGACTCCGGTGCCCTCACTGAGGGACAGGGCTTCTCTGTACAGTCTTTGCAAATGGCCTGCAGACATGCTCCCATGGCTGCCCTTTGTATTCTTTCAGAGGAACCTCTTTCTTGCTGCACTGTAGTTTAAATAAAAATTCTAGCTTTTTAAAAAAAAAACAGCTAATTTAAATTTATAAGGAAAAAGAACACTTCAAAACTACTGAGTTGAAATCTTAGGTTATTATATAGGCCAGAGTTTAGTGGCTTTGAGAATTTTTTTAAAGAGAAGCCACAAAGCTTTACAATGGTGCCAGATTAGGCTTGTCTCTATTGCCCAAGGTTTGTCCCTTTGTTGTTTGATCTTATCCTCCTTATTCAAAATGTAAGCCTGGGTGTACACTATTTAAAAGTGCAGTACTCTGTAGAATAATGAGATAAATGGCTCCTAGCCTGTTTGTCTTAGGTTGAGGTTCTAAGATTGTGGCTGAATTGATGGGAACTCTTGCAGAAGCACAGGGCAGTGGGCAGGTGTCCTGGGAGACAGATGGGTCAGTCTGGAGTTCTGGTCCTGGAGGGAAGGAGAAGAGCTTATTTTGACATCTGACAAAACCAGCCTGATGTATCCGAGTTACTATCGTTAACATCACTATGCATTTTTTGAGTTTTTATTTTTTAATGTGGCTGCTTGTATTACATTTCTGTTGGATGGTGCTGTGTAGACAAGATACAGGACTCTGAGCACCAGCTTAAGCTAAGGGAGGATTTTGATTACAGGAATGATGGTGAGAGCTGCAGGGTAGAGCCTGAGTTCACAAGTGTGTGGAAGGAATCAGAGGGAGTCTGATAGGACAGTGATCCTGAATTTTCATGATGGATATAGACACAAAGGTGGCATGTTCTGTAGAAATAGCCACAAAAAAGCAGTTTTCAAAGTTTAAAAATGATCCATAAAAAGGTCATTGGTGCAAGTATGTGTGGCCCACTACCTCCCTAGCCCACCCTCCACAAGCACTGGTTCCCAGAGGGAAAGGGCAAGGCAGCTCAACTCAGAAACCTCCAGGTGTTCAGGGGCCATTCTTGGTGACTGGGGGTGTGTTCCAATGGCAGAGATAACAAAAATGTGAGAAAATGTGGTTGTAGGGTACCAAAACTTTGGAGATCATTTTATTTGTAAAAATGGTATTTGGAAGTTAAAGATGAAGATTGTTCTGTTTTTCTTGGTAAACTTTGCTTTGTAGAGCTAATCAATTTCAAACGAAAGAGAGTGGCAGCATTTAGGAAGAATCTGATTGAAATGTCTGAACTGGAAATAAAGCATGCCAGGGTAAGTGTTACCTTCAAACTAAGTCAACTTTGGGGGGTCTTTTTCAAGTTATTTACCAATTCACTATTCCAGTGTCATCAAGCAGATGGCATTTGGTTTGAGGTTTTAATCCCCTGAGGTGTGGGTGGGAGCCACTTGTCAGAGTATTTTTTCCACTGCAAACCAAAACTCCGTATGTCTTGATGAAATACTGCTTTTTGAGAAGAGCATTCTTGGTGGCGGTTACCCAGCTTCTCTCTTGACGTCCTTGCGGGCCACACCCTGAAGGAGTTTTTCCAGTAATTTGTGAGCATCCATCATAGCATTTATAAGCTCTTCGTTATCTGGAGTTTTCATGGAAGATTTTTTTTTAAATAGTTTTCTAATTTGCTAAGTGTCTTCTGATATTAATTCCCTTTTGGTTTAAAAGGGAGGAAAACTTCCTCATAATGTCTGTAGCATAATTTAGCCCAGAAAAGATGGGAGAACAGTGGTTCTCAGTGCTAGAGCATATTAGAATCCTACTGGGGAGCTCTTAGGGAATTTTTGTTTTTGTTTTTTTTTGTGCCCAGGCTCATTCACTCAGGGTTTCTGGGCTCTTTGGGTGGTTCCTGGGTACAGCAGATACTGAGCCTCAGGGTGCTGTCTGAGCCAGGGCAGTCAGGTCACTGTCACTGGCCATCTGTGCTGGTTAAAGCAGGAAGACTGAACGTTTGTATGTATTTTGAATTTCTTTATTTTGACCACAACAGAGATGCTTACTCACTTGCCTCTTTAAGTCCTGCTGTATATATGACCTTTTAAATTGGAGTTTTAAAGTATCATTTATGGGTCATTTATGATAGTGTTCTGAGTATTCTAGGTTTTTTGAATTCCTTTAAAGTGAGTACTTTGTACAGTATTTCCTGCCAAGTCCTATGTGAATATTTATCATTTGTAATCTCATTTATAATCTCACCCATAACTACTTTTTAACAACTTTTTATCCAGTATTTCCAAGGCTTTCAAATACCACATTTAGGTTAAGTCACGTGAGTGGGATTGGCATGATTGCAGTGGGAGCAAACCTGGGGTGTGGGGTGGAGGTGCTGAAGTGCTGACCAGCCCTTCTGAGGGTGAGGAAATCCCCAACGTGAAATTGGGATGAGGGGAATTGTGGTTCAGGGGTCATTGAATGAAAAACAAGTACCCGGCCAGATGTCTTGTGACAAGTGAAGTTGGTAGGTCTGAGGCCCATGCCTCACCAGTGCCCCGACGTCTGTCTTCTAGAACAACGTCTCCCTCCTGCAGAGCTGCATCGACTTGTTCAAGAACAACTGAACGAAGGACGTGAATGTGAAGAAAGCCCGCATCACTTGCACTCAGATCATTACCACGGAAGATTTATTACCTTTGGCTTTAGTTTAAAATTATGTGAATAAATATTTTGATTTCTAAAGATCTTAACACTTAACCATGTTGGTTCAAAAATATTTCTATTGCATGCTACTTCGACATAACTAATCTTTATGCATTTAATACCTCAGAGCGGGTAGAATCTAAGTACTGGGTTCTCCTCTAATTTGTCTTTCGTAATTAAGAAAGGGTGCGGGAATCTTGCGCCTTCTGGAGTCTGTGTAAGCAGTGGTCTGGCATACACTGCCTCACTGTTCCCTGTGCCCATGCCCCTACAAACCGGTTACTTTAGGGTAGGTGCCAATTATAACAGATGAGTCAGCCGCTTGTTACAGATGAGGGACATTCCATCTCTTCATTAGGTAATTTCCCCCTTTCTTACTCTCCTGGTTCTTTAATCACCTTGAGTTGTTTGTACTATAACAAGAGGAAGAAAAATCTCATATCTTTATATACACCCTTTGCAACTCCATTTTTGTAGTTGGGAGATAAATATTTGAGGGAAGAGAAGCATCTTAAGGGTATAAGAACAAGTAATAAGGCCTAATTTAGAAGGTGGCCAGATCTACATTAAGAAAGATGTGAACCCCCTACCTAATGGGGGGGGTGGTATGTGTGTTTGGACTTTTTATAAAGTGTACAATAAAATAATCCATGCTCTACTATGGAGTGTTTTTGTGGGAAACAAGGCCAGGTGTGCCCTAAGACTGCACTTGCAGCTAAGCCTTGGGGGTGGTGAGGGCTTTGGTATCTGCCAGGCATTGTCCCAGACTCTGTTCTAATCTTAACAGTTTAGAAGACTACAGACCTGTTTTTAAGGGTATATCTGTCCCATCATCGGTGTGACTGAGCCTTAAGGTGGTGCCTGCCAGGTTTATGTCTATCTTTTGTAATTATTCGAAAGATACTTTGAGACTATGTAAAAAGTTTACCCACTTCTTTTAGCCTGTGTTTTAATCAGCTGTAACTGGTGTGAGGGTTGTAAAACTCTGGTTTTGGACACCATAGGTCACTTTTTCTGATGTTAAACTGATGCTGAAGTCTTGCCCTCCCAGCCAGTTACAGTGACTGAAATTTACTAAACGAGCCTAGACACAGTAATTCCTGCTCCCTTCACGTAAAGCGTTTGGGAGGGAGGCGTGGTGCAGGAAGCGAGTGCATTTAAACAAGCTGTGCTCCAGTCTGGGTTCCTAACCACATCTCGGTTCCCGCACACCTGTCACCCCCGGGTCCCCCACAGTAACACAGGCGTCATGTGGCGTTGGGGTGTGCGACTCTGCCTAGTGTACCTGGGTCACAGCTGGTCCCAGGAGTTCTGGCTATGGCTCGCCTTGCCTCAGCCCTTGACTGGGGGCCACTTTGGACTAGGTCTGTTGCTGGATGTGAAACAGGTGGTTGGGACGCTGGGGTCCAAGTCCCGGCCCTGCTTGGTGGCTAAGGGGGCACCCTGCTGAACCAGACAGATCTGTAAGGTGCAGCAGTGCTTTAAACTAGGTGCCCCTCAAGTTAATTTTATACGAGTGATCTCAAGAGTGTTTGTGTTTACCTTCTGCACTAAAGTCTTCATGGGCCTGCTGGTCATTCGTGAAACTGCACGGGGTTCTGGGCGGGTGAGGGTGTTTCTAGTTCTCCCCTTCCCTGCCCACGTCGGCCAGTGGAGCCATTGCTGTCTCTGCAAACCTGGGCTCTTCCTGAGGAGCCAGGCGACCTGGCTAAGAGGGAGCCAACGCCCTGATGCAGGAGGGCAAGGCTCGGTGTGGGACTGGGTGCTGACATCTATGTGCCGCCTGTGGGGCGGCAGAGGGTGCAGACCCAAGGGAGGGGCTACCTTGTGCAGCCTCAGCAGGAGGAGAGCCAAGTGGGAAACTTACAGCTGCCCAGGCACCTTCCAGGGGCACAGGTGGGCACAGAGCACTCTAAAATGCTTTTCCTCAAGCCCATGGGTGAATTGGGGCCACTTCTGAGTGATGTGTGGGAGACTTTTGTTGGGGTGTTCTGAAAGCTTCAGTGAGTGTGCTGTAGGGTTGAGGATTGCTCTGAGAGACCTGGTGGCTAGTGACCCTTCTGTACCACATACAGCGCATGTCAGGTGCTGCCTTCGAGGTTCATCTGAGGTGATGCCTAGACCCAGCTGTAAGATGTGGTTTCCATTTGGAAGTCACCTTGCACCGTCAGCTTCCACCTGTAGGGGCAGAGTCACCCAGATCCCACACGTGCCCTCAGCTTGTGGGACAGAGGGGCAGCCCGGTGTCTGCAGAGTTGTTTCCGATGGTCTCTTCCCAGAGCGGCAGCCCTCTCTGGGTGACCCAAGACACTCTCTGTTGCTGAGGCTGCTCCTTGCGTTCTGGGACTGGTGTCAGACAGATGGGAGGTAATGGGTTCAGAGCTGGGCCGTGTGACAAGTCTGGAAGGAAGGCCGGGAGCACCACAGCTGGGCAGGGGCCGGTTATGAACTGGAGAGACAGCTGGGAGCTGAGCGGTCCAGGAGGAGCCTCCCCCAGCCCTGTTCCCCATGCCCCTCAAAACAGATGCACGGCTCCCCTTGCTTGGGTGGGCAGAGCAGAGTGACTCCTTATTGCAGGTTTAGTTAGTTGCCATTCAAAAGGCATTTAATTTCTGTTTTTAATCTTTAGTTCTGACTACCAAAAAGGAATTCAGACAATACAAACTAAACTAGGAAGTAAAAATCCTATTTTACCACATCCCATAAAAGTCAGTTAATATGCTTCTGATTTCCCCCCTACCTATGTAGGTAGTGTATTTTACAGTTCAGGATGCCAGAGTAGGGCTTGGTTTCTGGAGGTTCCTAACCGCTGAGTACCTTCTCTCTCCCTTTGGAATGGTCTCCGTGGTCCAGAGGCCTGAACACCTTTTGTTTCTTTGTCTTTCCACTGCCAGTCCCACCAGAAAGAGGGCAGGACCCCCGGAAGTCAAGTGTGGAGGAAGTGAGGGTTTCTTGGCCTTCCCACCCTCGGGCATCTCTTCAGCAATCTTTTTTCCCCTCCCGCAAAGTCTTCACTTGTTAAACCAAAGACTTACATAGCCATTTTAGGAAGATTTTAATTTTAATTGGGTCTTACTTTCATGCTTTACAAAACCTCTTTTTAAAGCTTGTTAAATTGTGAGACCTGTAATCTTCAAAACACTCAGGAAAAAGGAGAGCCCATAATCCCAGCCCACAGCCATTTTATTTCTGATGACTGCCTTCCAGCTCTTGCATTAATTCATCTGGTGCACCCTCAGCTGAAGGAGGATTTTTTAGCATCAGTCAAAGGGGAGAGGCTTGCGGGGTCGGGATAGGATTTCCGCTGAAGCTTGCTGCACAGATCATGTAGTGGAAGGCTGGCCAGATGCTTAACGTTTCAGGAACTGTTTACTGGCCTCATTTTTTAACTGCCACGCTGCAGACTCTTGTCATTTTGGTGGAATTTGGAGATGGAATGGAGATTGTGTGTCTGTACTTGGCCATGTCCCCTCACACTGCAGAATCACAGGAGGGGACTCTGCCTTCTCTGGAGGATCAACCTAAGACAGGGCAAGATTCCGGGACAGCAAACTAAAACGCTGCTGCTGGGCTTAGGCTAGTACCAATTTCCCCAGATTCAGGCCTGGTACACGTGCTAATTCCTGGCCTAGTGGTGGGAGTCCCAATGCCACAGTGGCCTGTCCTGTCTGGGGAAGGGAGGTTCCTGCAAAGCAGCTGAGCAGGTCGCTCGAGGGTGAGTCAGCCTTTGGCTCCAACAGAGGCTCTTGGGGCCTCCCTGTCCTCGGGGTTGATCGTATCACGAGCCCATTTGGTCTTGTTGGGAGGCATGCGGCATGGATTTGGGGGCAGAAAAAGTGGCCAGAGGAGGAGGGGGAGGAAAAGGGAAGCAGCCGGTGAGCGCCCACAAACAGGTGATGGATAAAGCCCATGTCGAGAGGGAAACTCTGGAAACGCCTGCTCAGAAGCCTGTGGGGCTTGCACAAGTGTTTTTTCTGGAGTCTGGTTTTTGCCTTTGGGCCCGTTCACACCGCCTGCAAAGCGCTTGTCCCACTGAGGGGGCCGGGGACAGGCCAGTGTGGGGTGCTGTCGCGAGGGTCCTTGTTGGGTAAGCAGAGAGGAGGTGGGCAGGGGCCGGGATTGTCAGGGAGCCTCCGCATCACCAGCACTGGCAGCCACTTGCTGGACGAGCTCACGGTCCCCCACTTCGCTCCTAACGTTTCAGTTTAAAACCTGAATCTGATCATTACCCTCATCCACAAAACACCCTTTCAGGATGCCCCCATCTGATGCAACATAAAGTCACAAGTCCTTCCAACGACTGCAAGACCCCACCTGATTTGTAGACCCCACCCTGAGGTTGTATTTTCCAAAGGTGTCCACGTCCCCTGTGTGCTTCTGTAATGTGACTGCCCGGCACAGGAATTTACTTCCCCTCCCCTTGAACCTGGGCTGGCTTTAGTGACACGTTTGTAATCCATAGAATGGGACAGAGTGACACTGTGGGTGGGGTGGGGGTGGAACTTCCCGGTAGGGACCAGAGGAAGCCTTGCTCTCTCTCTTGCCTCTGGTCTCTGTCTCTCTCTGTCTCCAGCTGCTGTGCTGGGAGAAGCCAAGCCACATGCAGGAGGTCGCGGGTCCCAGCTAAGCCCAAGCCTTCAAGCCATCCCAGCCCAGGAAGCAGACAATAGAACTTTCCGTGTGATGGGAAGGTTCTGTCTGTGTGGTCTAGCGAGGTGCCTGTCGGCCACATGGTAGTTCTGGTGTAGAGAAAACACAGAACACCCTGTCAAATTGTTTCTGAATTCAACACTACTTATTTAGTGTTAAGTATGTCTCATGCAATATTTGGAATATATTTATACCAGAACAATTATGTGTTGTTTTTCAGATCCAAATTTACTGGGCATCCTGCATTTTTATTTGCAAAGTCTGGCACCCGGAATGCAGCTAGTACAGCTGAGGAAGTGAGGTTTTTTTTTTTTTCTTTCCCACAGCTTGTGGGATCTTGGTTCCCCAGCCAGGGATCGAACCTGGGCCACAACGGTGAAAGTACCGAGTCCTAACCACTGGACTGTCAGGGAATTAGCAAGAAGTGACTTTTCAATTTATAAAAATTTGAATAAACAGCCACATGTTTCTGGTGGCTACTGTATTGGCCAGTGTCCTCTAGAGAAAGCCAGGTCCAGTCATTCACCCCAGGACAGTTGCGGCTCCCCAGCTAAGGCCCCAGACGATGTGTTACAGAGACAAGCTGTCCCCCTAGGCCCTGAGTCCTTGACCCACAGAATCCCTGAGCGCGGTAAGATGGTGCTTGTTTCATGCGCTAAATTTGTGGTCATTTGTAGCTGGAACTCCCTCAGTCCCCCAGGAACCCAGCTCACTTCCACCCCGGGCCCTGAGCTGGAATGTTCTCCCACATGCCCTTGGCTCCTTTCCTCACATGCTTCCAGTCTTTGCTCAGATCTTGCCTTTCATTGAGGCCTCCCTCACCATCCTACTTAATTCCTGATCTACTTTACCTACTTGAAAAAATGTTCACAAACCTCTCCATCTTTACTCTTGATATGTTCAGCTCATTTTCTGTCTCTCTTTGCTGGACTGTGAGCTCAAGGAGGCTGGGCAGGGCTCCACACCTTTTCTGTTCCCTCATGTGCCTGGACGCCTGGAACAGTGCCTGCCATGCAGTGGGTCCTTGGCAGATGTCTGTGGAAGGAGTGACCACTGCTTAGTGGAGAGGCAGGGCTGTCTTTCCAAACGCCCTCGAGTATTCAGCACCGCTGATTGCTGACCCTAGATTCCCTGTAGATGTAAGGTTTCGTTCTGTTACCAGCATTCATTCAACAAACACTGTATGCCATGTACCGTCCCAGGCCCTGGGGCTGCAAAGGTGGCTGTGACAGATGAGGGCCCTGACCTCAAGTAGCCTCTGTTCTAGGAGGGTGGGGATCTGGGAGGGCGACTCCAAATTGGCCATTTAACTTGGTGTTGGTGACACGAACCAAGGAGTTGTAGCCGCTTTCGCAGGCCTGGTCTAGTCTCAACCTGCTGTTGGTGTGGGAGATTTTTAAATGCTGATGGCTGGGCCCACCCCCAAGGTTCTGATTTCAGTGCTGGGGGGTACAGCCCCAGTGCTGGCAGTTCACAGCACTCACCGTGGTTCTGATGGAGAGGCAGGATCAGAACCACTTGTTTAGGTGGATCCCTGGTCATTGCCTGTGAGCCAGGTTCTCATAAGCCCCATTTCACAGATGAGGAAAATGAGGCTCGGCCGGGCACACAGGTCAAAGGGTCCCTCCGGCAGCCCCTTGGCTCCTCCCCTACAGTGAGGGGACAGGGTCTGCCCAGAAGGCGGAAGCCGAGGCTGGGGTGCCCTGGGCTTCAGAGGGGCCCTCAGCCCCCCAGGAGGTAGGTAACCCCTCCGCAGGGCCTGGGCTCACACTGCACAGCTCACCAGCCTAATGAGAGGCTCTCTGAACCGCCCACTCCCACTCTGTGATTTGCTCACTGCCCTTCCCTCTAATTTTGTTGTCTCCCCAGCAGTGTCCCAAGGCCTGGGGACTCCATTTGCAGTAGGAGGCCCATCCCTGCCTTAGTGAAGGGGCTGCTTTCCTGCTGGCTGATCCCTCTGGGGGAGGGCGGAGGGGGGCAGCGGCTGTTTGCAGAGCCCTGCAAGGGGTGGGAAGATCTGTCGCGAACAGTTTAGAGTAGGAGGCAGCGGCCCCTCCATCCACCCAGTGCTGTTCTAAGTGCCTTTTCAGACACTTGTTAGAAACCACAGGGTTGGTAAAGAGCAGGGGCAGGACAGCTGGTGCCCAGCGTCTGGCTCTGGGTGGCACCCTCTCCTGTGTCACTGTGTTGTGTTGGGGTTTAACTTCTCTTGCTCATTTGCCTCCGGGGCTTGTTTCTCTGCCTGGACTGTGTCTCCTGTGGGTAAGGACTCTGACGCTTCCACGTCATCCAGGCCAAGTTATCTGCCTCCCTCCCATCAGCAGTGACAGGGGTTCCGCTCCCGAAGCTCAGGCCTCTGCACATGTGCGCAGGGACGGGGGACAGGGTGGGGCTTGCTCTGAGCACAGTAGAGGGTCCAGCTGGGGAGGTATGGGCCCCCGCGCATACCTGAGATGCTGGAATATCAGTGTCATCTCGGATGAGTGTCATAGCTCCGACTAGCTGGAGGGGCTGTGAGGACCGAGGGAGATGGTCCACGCAAAGCCTTGAGCGGCGCAGTCAGTGCTTCACAAAAGTGAGGTCGTCCTGTTATCCATCCTGCCATCTCCTGGCTGAGGGCCGTGCACACAGCAGACTCCCAATCACTGCTGTTTGTTCCACTGGTTTGGAGCCACTTTCCTTGGGGCTAATTCTAGGAGTTCCAGCTCCGCCAGAGTTCATATCTCAGGCGCCTGCAGGGTAGCCAGAGGCAACAGGCTTTACTCTGGCCAGGTGGGCAGCTCTCAAAGTGGCCTAGACCTGCTCCCCAGACTGGAGCTGCCCTCCGAGAATACTGTGTACACACAAAGGCCCTTAGCCAGGTGGGCTCGGAAAACCCTGCATTCGGTCTGGAGATGGAGAGTCAGCCACGTGAGCCCTCCTCCTGGCCCTGCTCTCGTCTGACACAGCCACTGGGGAGCCACTCTTTGGTCTCTGTCCCGCACGGCACTGCAGGTACCCTGGGTTCAACCCTGGCCACCAAGGCCACCTGTTGCTGTTCCTGCACATACAGCTGGCCCTCTGCCCCCGGGCCTGGCTGCTCCCCTGGGAGGGACCCCACCTGGAGAGGGGCAGGAGCTGGGGGGTCCTTGGCCCTCGGTGGGATGAGTTAGAGGTGGGTCCACAGTCCCAGACCCCACTCACCTCCACACCCCCTTCCAGGGCTTCCCGGGCCACATCCCAAATACAACGTGCCCAAGTCCTCCCCGTACGCTTGGGAAGAGCCCGAACCACGGCAAACAGGACGGAGTGCCCACCCGGGAACTCCAGAGACTTGCCCTCGGTGCTTTTCCTCCCAAATTACTAGGACAACCCCAAGGTGCCCATGGGGGTGGGAGGGAGGTTGAGGTGCAGGTGGCAGTAGCCCCGAGGCTGCAGGGGACCCCCTCCTTGCCCCTCTTCCTTAGTCTCTGAAGCTCTCGGTGTAGAGGGACCCCAGGCCAAAGTCTAAGACCCCTGTGGTGTGCTTCACATTAAACAGTGCTGAGGTCAGCGTCATGAGGCACTGGGATTGTTGGAACAACTTCTGCGGGGAGGGCAGGTCAGGCCCCAGTGCAGCCTGGAGCAGAAGAAAAGGCTCCAGCGCGGTCTCACAACCAGGGCTCCAGTGGGTCCCTGGGCTAGGAGGCAGGAGGTACCTCTGTCCAGTGGTCTGAGGGAGCTCTGGGCAAGATGTGCCTTGAAATACCCCCATCTCCTTTGGCAAGTCACTCAGACCCCAGTTTCCCCTCTGAAAAATAGAGGTGGGAGTGTCCCCAGTGGTGGATGGAGGGAAAGGGGACCAATAGATGGTGTGGAGTCCCTTTTACACTCTAAAGGGACCGTTCGAATGCAAAGACCAGGGCAGTGAGAATCCAGAGCAAGGCGGGCCAATGGGGGGCTGCCGGCATGAAGCCACCAAGGGTGGTGCAGAGCCAGCCGGGCAGGAATCACTGTCCTTGCCCTTGTGGAGCTTTAATCTACTGTGAGTGTTGGGGTGAGAGAGACAGTAAGCAAACAAGCAGGCACTTAAAGAAGCAAGGTGATGGTGCTCTGGTGAGGTACACATCTGGGAGGGTGAGTGGGGGTGGACCTGCTGAGGTGGCCTCACCAAGCAGAGACCTGAGGACAATGAGAGAGAAAGGCATGTGGGTATCTGGGGAAGAGGGTCCAGGCCGAGGAAAGAGCAAGGGCAAAGGTTGCAAGGTCGGGGCATTTTTGGTGAGTATATCTGTTAGCTAGTGCTGTGTAACAGCCACCCCAGCACCTAGTAGCTTAAAATAGCAGCTGTTTATTTTTACTGGCTGGACCTAGCAGTGCAGTTTTTCTGGTAGCTGGGCTTACTCAACTGCCTGAGGTCAGCGGCCAGGCCGGCTGGGGTGGGGGGCTTCAGATAGCCTCCACTGGGGTGAGTGTTCTTGGCTCCCGGCCCCCAGCAGGCCTTACCCAGCTTGTGCTCGTGGCCGCTGGACAAGCTTCCAGGAGAGCAAGTCTGGGCTTGGAACAGGCACGGTCACTTCGGACATGTTTTGTCAACATATAAGATTCAAGGGGAGGGCAAATCGATCCAATTTTTGATAGCAGGTGCTGCAAAGATTGCGGCCACGTTTGCAATTTACTATAATCCCACACATTGTAGGTGAGAAGCCAGGGCTCAGAGAGAAAAAGGCACAAGTGACTCTCCCAAGGCCATGTGACCATGGAGATTCCAACCCAGCCTGTGTAATGTCGTGGTTGGTGCCTTTTCTCATGCAAACTGCCTCTTGCCCCCCAAGTTCCTTAAACTGATTTTTAATGTCCCCCAAATTACATGTTAAGTCACTGAGTGGCAGGATGGAGAGGTGAGACACCCACACAGCCTTCCAGCCTTTCCTTCTGCACAAGTGTGGGTCCCCCACCCCACCCCAAACACACTCACTCTCTCCCTTCCTCTCTCGCAAGTACTTTTTCAGGGGGTGGCTTTATTTGAGACTTTATTTTTTAGAGCAGTTTTAGGCTTAGAGGAAAAGTGAGGGAAGGTAATGAGGTGGCTGGTGTCTTCTCCATCCCACGTGGGAATAAAGAAGAAAAGAGTGGCCACAAGCAGGTCCAATCTCTATGAGGGTCGGAGAATCTGGAGATATTTACCTTTTTTATTATAAGTAATCAGAACAGGCTTATGGAATAATGACACTGCCAGTGACACCTTGGAGGCCAGATTTAGGTGGAACTTAAACCCCAGAGTGAGGATTCAGACGGCAGGTAATAGGGAGCCGTTGAGGGTTTGAGCAGGGAAGTGGCCACGTGCGAGGAAGGGCAGGTGTCCATGGCTGGGCAGGGGAGGGGTCTGCAATTCTAGGCAAAGGAAGTGGGAGTGCTGGGCCAGGGATACACCCGTGTGAGGGGAGTGGAGCCTGGGGTGGCTGGGGTGGGGGGACACGGGAGCTGCCAGCAAGCCCGTTAGGGGCCGTCTGGTGAGCGAAAGGGATGGGCAGGAGATGCAGCCCTCACGGAAGGTGAGACCCGGGTCAGGAGGGGGTGGGCGGGGTGACAGGTGCTGGCTTTTGCTTCCCCAGCTGCTCCCTCCTCTGGGAGGAACCCCCCCCATCCCAGGAGCCTCTCCCCTACTCCCAGCCCTGCCCTCCTGCTAGGGCTGCCCCCATGCCTGGTGAGGCTGAAGCCCTGAGGTCCGGCCTGGGTGAGCTTCTCCCCTGACCTGGGCAGGCCGATGGGGGACGGCCCTGGGACTTGGAGGACCAGCTCCTCGTCTGTTAGAGCTGCCGGGTGGAGGTGGGCAGTGTGGCGCTGCAGAGCTATCCCTGAGGCTGTGGCTCCAGCACCCGTGTCCGTGCTGCTGTGGGGCCTCCGGGGGTCGTGGTCAGTCACACTTGCCATGGCCAGTGCCAGGAGAGAGGGCCAGGGGCTGGGGGCCGAGGACAGGCAGGGACTCCTTCCTGGGCTGGAGGCAGAGGTTGAGACCCCCGTGGCCCAGAGGAGTCATCTGTACAATCTGGGTGGGGGGAGGGAAAGACGTTCCCAGTCAAAGGGTGGAAGCGGCTGGCTGTTCCCGGGGGCTAGGAGAGGTGAAGCCAGGGCTCCCCTCCCTCCCTCACTGCCCCTCACCCGCCTTGCAGCCAAAGGAAGCCGTGCCCACCTTTCCCGCTCTGGGCCTCGACTTACTCTTCTGCGAAATGGGTCTAACCGGCCTCATGCCTGAACCGGCATCAGAATCACCAGGGAAGGTGCTAAAAATGCACAGTCCCAGGCTTCACCTCTGAGTGTATGGAGGGGCCCGGGGGGCCCAGGAATGTGCATTTTTACCCAGCTCCCCAGGGGCCTCTGATGAGAGCCCTGTACCCACACATTGAGAAGCTCCCCTGACCCTGAGAATGCTGGTAGGCCTTTTGGACCCGGGACCCATGAAGCACCCGCTGAAGCAGGACTGTGTTTACCCAGGACCTTCTAGGCCTGGCACTCATCCTAGACCAGGGACAGCCCCTTGGGCTACGCCTTTGCCCCTGGTGTGGCTCCCATCCTGGCCACTGACCCCAAGTCCCCCAGGAGCATCAGCTGAAAGACATCGAGGACGTGTGTGAGGGCCCCTCTCCAACGCCCTGGAGAGAGGACCTCAGTGGCCTGGGGATCCTGAGAGCTCTCTCCAGGGGACCCTTTCTAAGCCAGGCTCCCTCTGCAGCCTCAGCCTCCTGGCCTTGTGCTGCTCTTCGCCTTGGTCAATATTTATTCCTCAAACAGGCTGGTATTTACTTAAAGGGCGGCAGCAGACATGGCAGCCCTCGCCTCCTAGCCCTCTGCTTCCCTGTCCTTCCTTGGGGGCTCCCCCTTCTCTGCGAGCAGGCTCCCTGGGCCCAGCATGGCTTTCCCAGGTCACTTGACTCCACCTCGAACCTGTCCTCTGGCTCCACACATGTCGGGTCTGGTCCACGGGCCTAGAACTGAGGTCCCGAGAATATTCTAAATGTCCCAAACTGCTCCTGGCTGCAACACGGGCTCCTGATCCCAGTTCGAACAAGCCACGTAGAGGTTGTGGTGAAAGGACGTGTTGTCTGAAACAGTTTTGCACGTTATTTTCCAGGAAATCAGCTCCTGGCCTTGGCGGATGCCGTGCACGGGCCTGGGAGACCCCAGTGGGGAGCCCAGAGCTGCGAATGCTGTTGATGAATGTGTGACCGGCCCTCGGACAGGCCACCAAACATTTTTTCTGCCAAGTTTATTCAGATGCGATCCTGCAATTTTTGCCTCCTCTGAACCTGGGGGGCGCGTTGCAGAGAGAAAAGGCCTTGGCTCTTACCTCCCCACTCACACGCGGCAGAATATTTTGAGGTCTGTCGTCCCAGTTTTGAGCATTGCTCAGATCAGCACAGGTGTGGCGATTGTTCCTTTTCTAAGAAGGACATTGCTGGCAAACTGGACATTGGCTGCTGTTTTCTAAACTTTTCATTTTGAACTACATTTCAAAAAGTAGGAGTAAAACGTAGTAAGTATAGTATTAAAGTTGCAAAAACAGTACAGAAAGTTTCCTGTCCTCTTCTCCCAACTTCCCCAAACTTACAAACCCGCAGCCTAGCGATCAAAGCCAGGAGGTTAGCTCTCGTCGTAACACCCTTAATCCAACCCAAGACCCTGCGTGAACCTCACCAGCTTTTCCACGAACGTCCTTCTTGGCTCCAGAAGAATGCATCCAGGGTCCCGCCCGTGCATTTAGTTGTTCTGCATCTCTGCTGCTTTGCTATCAGCAACAGTCCCTAAGTTGTTCCTTGTCTGCCCAGACCCAGATACCCGCGAGGAGTGTTGACCGACACCCCTGAGCCCAGGCTTTGTGGGGTCCTCATGTCTGGGTGGAGGGCATACATCTGGCAAGGGCACCGCTGCCGTGGAGCTTCGGACCTGGGGCCACGGGGTCACGATGCTGGTTTGTGCAGCGATGCCTGGCTCTCTGGTCAAGTGGTCCTGAGTGGTTATATTCACCTCCCATCCCCACCCCCAGCCCCATCGACAGACATCTCAGGAGAAATTCCTTGAGGCCGTGCAGATGCCTTTTCTCCTTAAACCTTTCAAGATTCTAGCCTCCATCAGATCTTGTCTGCAGCATCACTTCTTTGGCTTCCCCTCCCTCCCTCCCTCCCTCCCTCCCTCCTTCCTTCCACATGTATTGATTGGATTTCCACTGTAAGAAAGAGCTGTCCCAGGACCTACTGTATAGCATAGGGAACTCTACTCAATACTCTGTAATGGCCTATGTGGGAAAAGAATCTACAAAAGAGTGGATATATGTATATATATATATATATATATATATATATATATATATATAACTGATTCACTTTGCTGTATACCTGAAACTAACGCAACATTGTAAATCAACTATACCCCAATAAAAATTAAAAAATTAAAAAAGAGGGCTTCCCTGGTGGCGCAGTGGTTGAGAGTCTGCCTGCCGATGCAGGGGACACGGGTTCGTGCCCCAGTCCGGGAAGATCCCACATGCCGCGGAGCGGCTAGACCCGTGAGCCATGGCTGCTGAGCCTGCGCGTCCGGAGCCTGTGCTCCGCAACGGGAGAGGCCACAACAGTGAGAGGCCCGCGTACGGCAAAAAAAAAAAAAAAAAAAAAAAAAAATTAAAAAAGAAAGAGCTGTCCCTTCTGCTCCGACTTATTTAATCAAATACTTATTTATATCTGTGTGGACTTAGGGATATTTTATTCTGTGGGTGATAATCTGATACTATCATTTTTTATTTTATTGTTCACATTTCTCAGCCCTGGCTGCTGGGAGCTCCTTCAGGGCCCCTGTACCCTTTGGACCAGCCCCGTGTTTTCTGGTTCCCCTCGGTTTTCTAGGATTTGCTGCCGCCCTCACTCGGCTAATTATTAGATATTCTCCTTGGGTTCTGTGGGCTATTGAGGCCACAGGTCACATCTTCTTTTTGAATCAATTATGGGCCAGATTATACCTAACATATATCTTAGTTGTTTGGTGTGTCGGCACAGCTGGGTCTTTGCAGAAATCCCCACCATCTGGAGGTTGGAAGTCGTGATTGTTGTGTCGGGATCCATTCAAACCAGGTAGGACCTAGTTTGGCTCCAAATGGTTGTCTTTGATGGTTTCTGTTCCTTCTACCTTAGAGTCCCCCCAGGGAGCCCCTAGGGTTCAAAAGCTGGAGAACACCCAAGTCATGCTGACCAGGAGCTCCCTTTGCGTGGCAGACAGGAAGTGCCAAGATATCATGATGATAACCTTGACCTTTGTCTACGAGCTTTGACTGAGCTTACCAACAACTGAGAATGTTGTTGGAAGGGAGGTCCTTCATTTGGGTCCCTCAGAAGCTGACCTTGTTATAACGATTCAAGGGCAAGGGCTTTCTGTGGGAAGTGATCTCGGGGGTGTGGGGAGGTGAGACAGGGAGAGAAGGGCAGCCATTGCTGTATTATTATTGTATTATTGTATAATCAAGCAAATCATCACCATGAGCAACTGGACTTCAGTCCTGCTGGAGAGCCTGGGAGGCAGTGTGGAATTCATACCTGAGTTCTCCGGCCCCTCAGGAGCAGGGGTGCTTATATACCGATTCCCATTAGTTTGGGTTGATGGCTGCTCCTGGGCGTGTTCATTCTCTAGTTCCTCTAAGGATGCAGGCAGAGCAGGCTATGGTGGCTGGAGAAAGTCCTCAGGCAAAGTTGTGCCCGGAAATGGTGAGGGTCTACAGGTTACGGGCAGGACACCCACAGCATCCACTCCAGGCATAGCCCCATTTTACAGGTGAAGAAACTGAGGTACAGAGAAGCTAAGTGACTTATCTGGGGTCTAGAAACAGTACTGAGAGCTGGCGCTTGAAGATATGAATTTGGATGAGGACAGTTCTAAGTCTCCACCGAACACCCTGGAGCCTTCTCCCTTTGCCCCTGCTTCTCACGGCAGGTTCCTCCTCTGCAGCCCTCTTGCTAGCCAGGAAACTGCCTCCCAGGCTGGGCAGGGTGTGTGTTTGTGATGGTTCCGCCTAGTGTCTTGGTAGTTGCAGGTTCGATGTTTGAGTTGGTTGGGGAAAAGCCCCTGCATTATTTCAGGAGGCTTGAGTTATGTCAACCCCTCCAATAAACAGTGTTAAAAGATTAGGTGAATAGAAGAAACGCCTGGCTTCTTATTGACTTAGACTGTCGGGCTGATGGATAGTCCACTGTCTCTCTGGCCCCAGGCAGCCCCTCTGACGGCTCCAGAAGAGGGAACCGAGTCACGCTTTGTGTGTCCCAGCTCTGCACTGTTCCCCCGGCCCTCCTGACCTCCTGCATCTAGTTCCTGTTTCATGTTCTCACTACTCCTCCGGCCCCTCCTGTATTCCCAGCCTGTTCTCCTGGTGAACTCTTGGGCCTGGGCTTTCGTTCTGAGTCGGGAGGGAGGGGACCTGGGCTTTGCCAATAAATATCTGTGGATGTGGGGCCCGGGTGCAGCCCCCGCCTCCATTACCCACAGGAGGAAATTTAAAGAGGAAATTACCCTCGCCTGGTCCCCCTCCTAGGACTGCCTAGGGCTTCAAAGCAGATGAGGTGACAAAAGGGTTGTCACAACCCAGGGCCTGGCTGACTTCCTGGCCTCCAAGGAACAGAAAGAGACAATAACCATATAAAAAGAAGCTCTGGGACTTCTCTGGTGGTCCAGTAGTTAAGAGTCTGCCTTCCAATGCAGGGCATGTGGGTTCGATCCCTGGTCAGGGAACTAAGATCCCACATGCCCTTGGGGCAGTTAAGCCCACGCACCACAACTACTGAGCCCGTGGGCCACAAGTAGAGAGAAGCCCATGTGCTGCAACAAGGAGCCTACCCGCTGCAGTGGAGGATCCCAACGAAGAACCCGTGGTGGCAACTAAGACCCGACACAGCCAAAAATAAAATAATTAAATAAATATTTAAAAAAAAAAACAATCTAAAAAGAAGCTCCACCTCACTGGTTTTCAGGAACATATGAATTAAAAATACTAGTGAAGGGGCTTCCCTGGTGGCACAGTGGTTAAGAATCCGCCTGCCAATGCAGGGGACACAGGTTCGATCCCTGGTCCGGGAAGATCCCACATGCTGCAGAGCAACTAAGCCCGTGAGCCACAACTGCTGAAGCCTGCGTTCTACAACTACTGAAGCCCGCGCACCTACAGCCCGGGCTCCGCAACAACAGAAGCCACCGCAATGAGAAGCCTGCGTACCGCAATGAACAGTAGCCCCTACTCGCCGCATCTAGAGAAAGCCCGCGCACAGCAGTGAAGACCCAGCGCAGAAAAAATAAATAAATAAATAAATTCTTAAAAAAAAATACTAGTGAATTAAAGAGGCAAGTTGAGACTACCTATTGCAATAAAAAAATTTCCACATCCTATAACCCAGAGAATCACGTCTTTGAATCTGTGGGACAGAGACCCTTGAGCAGGAGGGTAAGGTCTTGGGTGTGCGTGAGGTTGTTCACAAAAGCAGGGCTTCTCAGCGGTCCTGGGCTAGCTCTAGCCTTTATTTCCAATCTGTCACAAACTCATACATTTTTACTTTTACAGTAAAAATGAATCACTAGAGAAAGTTTTAAAAATGAAAGGCTTACAAAATACAAGCCCGTGATTTTTATTGTGAGATTTGACATAACATCACTGCCAAATTGCTCTAAAAGTTTCTTAGTATTTACCACTCCCTCCCAACCCCTGCCTCACAACTCGGGGCCAGCCCTGGTTGCTGGATCACAGACTCTGAGTCATGATGCTCAGCTGTGCTGCTTGCAAAACAAACTGGAAAGAGCTTAAATACTTATCAATAGAAGAATGACTATATAAACATGTTATGTCCATAGCATAAAACCCGTGTAGTAGTAAGAAATAAAGATGGCAGATTTATAAGACCTGACGTGCAAAGGTGGCTGAGACATGCTATTGAGTAGAAAAAGGATATACAGTTTTCTGAAGTGTTAAATGTAAAAAAGAAAATCTGCAATAAAACAATGCTCTATGTTTTCTATGGGCTTGTGAATATGTATGAAAATGTATAGAAAAGGGACTGGAAACGCATCCCTCTGGTACAGGCACACCTCGTTTTGTCGCACTTCACGTGATTGCACTTTGCAGATATTGCATGTTTTACAATATTCATAAAAATTCAAGGTTTGTGCCAACCCCACATTGAGCAAGTCTATCGGTGCCACTTTTCCAACAGCATTTGCTCACCTCGTGTCTCTGTGTCACATTTTGGTAATTCTGGCAATATTTCAAACTTTTTCATTATTATCATATTTGTGATGGTGATCTGTGATCAGTGACCTTTGATGTTACTATTGCAAAAAGATCATGACTCCTTGAAGTCTCAGATGAGAGTTATTTTTTAGCAAGAAAGTACTTTTTAATTAAGGTGTGTACATTGTTTTTTGGACTTAATGCCATCACACACTTAATAGACTCCAGTAGAGTGTAAACATAGCTTTATGAGCACTGGGAAACCAAAAAGTTCATCTGACTTGCTTTCTTTTATTTATTTATTTATTTGCGGTACGCGGGCCTCTCACTGCTGTGGCCTCTCCCGTTGCGGAGCACAGGCTCCGGACGCGCAGGCTCAGCGGCCATGGCCCACGGGCCCAGCCGCTCCGCAGCATGTGGGATCCTCCCAGACCGGGGCACGAACCCATGTCCCCTGCATCGGCAGGCGGACTCTCAACCACTGCACCACCAGGGAAGCCCCTGACTTGCTTTATTGCCGTAGCCTGGAACCGAACCTGGAAGGTCTGCCTGTATTGGGAATGCTGGGTAAAGGCAGAATCTTTTGTAAGGGCTTAATTTTTATGAAAAGAATGCATCCAAATATTACTCGTATAATTAAAAAACATGACATCTAGGCATGTTGATCTAAGACAGGCAAGTTACACTGGAAAGTGAATTTTCCAGACTCCGCCCCACCTCCCAATCGAGGGATAAAGCACTCACTCTGCCATGCAGGTGAAATGTGGACTAGACAACAGTAAGAGTCAGGTGTGAACTCCTGTGAAGAAGGCACAGTTGCAGACTGAGAGGCTGGGAGGGGACTGGCTTGTTGGTTGTACATGAGCCTTTTGTGAGGTGGCAGAGGAGAGAATTTAGATTTTAGGTTCAAACACAGAGTAAAATTCTAGCACCTGACGTCTGAGTTGAGGGTAGACCGAGCACAGGTAGTGTCGGCTCCTTCCTGAATCCAAGTGACAGTAAAGGGAGAGAAACCCTACAGAGACAAGAAGCTGGAGGGGCTGAGCAGCCAGGACACAGGGA